TTTCTGATGAATTAAATTTTCACAGGGGACATGATTGTTTAATCCAATCTCATTTACAGGGGCGGGAGCCGGACATCGGCAAAATCTCTATGAGTATGGCTCAAAGGTCTTCCACTCCGCTCCCCTCCGCTCCAGCCCAATTAAAAGGTTATGAATCAGCACAAGTTGATCAAAATAGAATTATGTTTATTTCTTGTAGATTAACAAAAAAATTAAAGATGTTGCACAATCATTTCGATTAGTTGAAATTAATTGAAGTGACAATATCGATATAATAATTTTGTCGAAATTGAATTTTAGATTTCAACATAATTTATGAAACAAAGTGTGTTTCCAGATTCAGTTTTTTTTGACTTAAATTATTATCATGACTATTTTTTAACTAATTAGGTCATTCTATAGACCATAGAAGGTGGCGCTTGAGAATAACCTAGGCAAAATGGTTTCATTTACATTAATAAGTCGTGGAATAACATATCGCAAGATGAACAAATATGCAGAGTTACTTGTAGATTTAAACAAATTATTATAAATTAAATCAAATGATGCAGACGCATAAGTATGTACGTACGTAACTATAGTTCAACTTATTGCATTAAGCAATATAAAGAAATTGTTTGCATATTAAATAGATTAATAGAAATTAAACAAAATAATGCACTTCATTAGGAGTTCGTGGAGTAACTTACTGCATGATGGGAAAATATTTAAATTATTCCAAATAACACATGAGCATTAAGTGCTCATGGTGCCATCAATCGTGTGATGAATAAATAAAAAAAAAAATCACTTAAAATAAATATGCAAATGCGCTAAGTATATCGATATGTGGTGTAACTTATCGTTACTGCATTTATGAGAAAATATAACGATAAGGGATCACTACGTAGAAATAATGCTATGTGTGGTGGTACTTACCACCAAGGTAAAACCGGGAAACCTGAATATAGAATAATATTTATTCTATGTTTAGATTTCACTTGGTGGCACCATTTGATATGCTTCGTGCGTTAGCGTTCGTACAAAAATTTAGGTAAGTTGCGTGTTAATGTTTCCAGAACTGTATGTACGTACGATACATACGTGCCTGATTGTACAGATCTTAACAGTTATGCGCATTTTTTTTTTTATCAATATGAAAATGTCCCTCAGATTAATTAATTAACACTATAAAAAGTACGTACCTCTTGCTACACATTTTCTATTATTTTGCTTGTATTTTGGCCAGATTACCAGTAATCAAAGTTTCGAGAAATGTTAGGCTTTAAACGAGCCCTTTTATTTGGGAAATTCTATTCTTGAACCTGGACTGATTAATATATGATCGAACACGGTTACGTGACCATCAAACAAGTTAGTTTTTTTCAATCTGCTAATTATAATTGTTCTTTAGGGACAATGGTTTTAGTGTTACCAAGATCTCAAAGTACGCTTATTTCATTATGCGGCCACTGTAATTCATTTAGGGTTAGAAACTCCAATTTAATCGTTTCTTTAATAATAAAGCCCACATAACAAATTAGTGATATATATATGTTTTTTTACGCGAACCTAATGTTAATATATTAAGTCCTTACGACCATTTTTATTAATTCCAATTCCATTTTCTATACATAATAATATTCAACTGAATTGCTCCTTATTTCACAGATTTTTGATAAGAAATGAATGTCTCAATATAGTTGTTAGAAAAAACCTGAAGTTTTGCGATGACGAAACGCGAAACCTAGTTTCATCTTTTGTCAATTAAACCTCAAATTACGAAACTGAAGAAAGGTGACGAAATTTACAAGAAGTAAAGAAATAAAAGGTGACGACCGGTCGGTCGTTCCACAATCTTAACTCTCGTATAATGCACATTAAGTTGGTTGGCTAGATTTGGCGAGTCAATGTAATCCATGTTAAACAAATAGGTCTTTATACCTTTCTAAACTAATTTAGGAATAAACTAGTCTGTTATTAACGTATTCTACTCTTTATTTCTTTAAAACAATTTCTTTTATTCTATTTTTTATATTAATTTTCTTGTATATTGAAAATACACAAAATTATAATTCGAAGCTTCTCAGTTTCATTTCCAGTTGGAAATGAAACGGCCAATTTGGAAAATAAGTTTTTAAAAGTGAACATAGAATTTCTTATATCTTAAAAATTTAAAAAGATTTGCTAACGCTAAATCTAGTAAGAACCGAAGTTGCGCATCACGCGACTCCTTAGTATCGCCGCCAAAATTAGATACATGTACGTACGTACGTAATCGCTGCTTAAAATTCGATCTAAGTATAGAACTGACTTAAAAAGTTACGAGATGTTCGAAAAAGAAATAATTATATATAAGCTTATATATTATCAAAATTGATATTTAAAGACTAACCCAAACCTTTTTTAAATTCATGATCGCACGTTTAGTTTTTTCATGTTACACCTGATCCTGCACCCTGATTGGTCGATCTGGAAATATCGATGCATGCTCGCAATCTGTTTTTTTTTGAATACTTGGAATAACGATACGATTCAATACTTATTTGGTCTTGGAAAATTATTAGACTTTTAGAGATAATTAAGCGTCCAAAACAATAAAATATTAACAAAATTGATAAAATTATAAAACTAAATAGTGAAAAAAATCTATGAAAGGTAAAAAAAAGTCATTATGAAATAGCTTATTAAATCTAGCTGTCTTTCGTTTAACTCTTGTCCGGTTTTAACTCTCATGAAGGTTTCGTCAGGTTTCGCCCTTCTTTATTTCCGATTTTAAATTTCGTCTTTCATCCGAGGGATTTGGGATTTCGTCAGGGTTTCGTCTATCGTCTTTCTCCGCCCTTAGGTTTCGCTTTTCGTCACTACGCAAAAAAGACTTCGCCTAATACTTATAGTCCTCAAACAAAAAAAGTTCTTAAAAGTTTAAGTATTTTAAGTGCAGGATTTGGTACAATATTTACTATTTACTTGGGTAAGTTAATTTATTTTTAATGGGTTTAAAAAAATAAAATAGCATTTATAATTGACATTAATTAATTAATTTATAGGAAGACCATTTACAAGTGATCGAGAAGATCAGGTTTAATCTTGTAATAATTTTTGTTATCAAAAATAATTCATGTAATTTATTAATAATAGTCACATCAATATTTAGTATAAAGATTTAAGTACCTTTAAAGCATGGTATATGCGGCTGCAGGCACGCATAAATGATATAGCGCATGTAAGCTTAGATCAAATTTGAATATTAAAAATAAAAAATATATATATATATTATATCATAGACTTAACTTATAACTAGATTTAACGTTTCATTTATGCAATTCTAGTTTTTTACAGAACCTTTATCAGATAAATTGTTACCAGATAGAGACACAATACCAAATCTTCCTCCATTAACGCTAGTAATCAATTTAGATCAAACACTTATTTATTCTTCTTGGGATGTAAGTTCTAAAATTACTTTATTAAAAAATTTCACAACAATATATTTATTGATCTCATTGTTCATTTATTACTTTAAGAGAAAACACGGATGGAGAACGGCAAAACGGCCGGGCGTTGATTATTTTTTATATGAAGCTTCTCAACTTTTTGAAGTTGTCATATTCACCTCCCAGCCTTCTTATGTAAGATGATTTATTTTTTCTTGTATGTTATTATCTAGATTAATAAAAATGTATATATATCTATAATATAAATTATGTTTATGATGCCAATATTTTGATTATATTTTTTATTTATAATAGGTTGCAGAACAAATACTCGCGAAGCTTGATCCACTTGGCATGGTTCCATTTAGACTTTTTAGAGAATCCACACGATATGTAGACGGGAAGGTTATAAAGGTTTGTTTTCTTTTTTTTTTTAAAAAAAAAAAAGTTAAATTATCCTATCAATTTGTTTAACGAATATTAAATATTGAAGAAATTTAATATTATTAATAAAAGGACATTTCCAAATTAAACCGAGATATATCTAAAATAATAGTTATGGATTCTAACCCTGATGCTTATTCTTTACAACCTGAAAATGTGATCGCTGTTCCGCCATGGACAGGGGATCCTAATGATACTTATCTAGTTGATATCATTCCATTTCTTGAAGGTGAGCTTTGCATCATGTTTATGGATTTTTAAATTTTATACTTTATTCATATCTAAACGGTAGCTTGTTTGGGATTATAGGCATTGGTTTATTGTTATCTGACGTTCAGGATATTCGTCCAGTGGTAAAAGAATTTAAAGGAAAAAACGTTCCAGAATTTTATCTGGAATGGGAAGAACAATGGAAAAAGAAGCATCAAATGGAATGGGAAAAAGCTAAACCAAAAAAAGAAGGTTTAGCGAGATTTGTATCTTTGATTGGTGGTAGTCAAGTGGTATTTACATCTATACATCTGTGTTTATTCCTCTAAATTTAACTATTTTTTTTTTACGTGATGGATATTTCTGATAATAATCTTGTTAATAGCAGGAACAAATTATGCCACAATATCAACAAGCCTTACTTCATCGCCAGATGGTTCATAATGAGTTAATAGAACATTATAAGTCTGTGAAAGATAAAGGACCTGAATTACAGCGTGCGATAGATGATTACGAGAAAAAGTTCCAGGAAAGCATGAAAAAGCAAAAAATTACGCATTGGGATTTACTAACTAAGGTAAATGAATGAATTTCAGCTATTACGAGTATTTAAAAGTATTTTAGTGAACTTGATTATTGTATTTTTAATGAGCTTGATTATTTGACTAATTTTAAATTGTCAATTCAGGGACCACCACAAATTCCATTCCCACAACCTGATCAACAACCTCCTCAATCACAATAATTATCATTTTCGGGTGAAATGACTGTTTTATAAAGTTAATAAAACCAAAAAAAGAATTATCTCGTGCCTTTTATTCCTTATTAGCTTTCTTTCTTCATTCATATGGTGACTTTTTTTTGAAATTCAGGGGTACGTGCAACCATTAGGTTAACGGATCATCAAGTTTGATTAAACCCAAAATTTTTAAAGTTACATTAATACGGGCTTTGAAAATATCAACATGAAAAAATAAATGATAAGCTTTACGTTAGGAATTATACTGGAAACGCTAGGCGACAAATTAGCCAGGCCAGGACGACCCCAAAAGTACGATCACATGAGAAGACGCCACAGCCACTGCATAATTTCTTAAAAAAAAAATTGTTGAATCGTCTAGCGCTAGCTCCTGCATGCAGTGAGATTTCTTAAAACGAATTATGTAACAAAGATATAGCTGTGGCGATGGTTTGGATCATGTGCCCTGTACTTTTGGAGGTCGTCCTGGCTAATTCCTAGGCGACGGATTTATATCCGAGTCACATGCGAAGTATAGTTTTATTAGGAACACCTAATTTCATGGAATGTACTTTAAAAAAAAGCATAATACAAGTATATAAATATAGGGATGCTCAAGTTACAAAGTTCTTAGCAATTGTGTATGAAGTATTTAGTTCGTTCCCATGTTCTGCGTGCTAATTAAAGACGTATTTGTCTTCGTAAATTTATTTCATCTGGCACCAAGTATAATAGTAAGAATCTAATAATGGCTTAACTACGACTGGATATAACATAAATACGTGCCTTACACGTGTGAATAAATACGTAACGATTTACACTTTCGATCATCGTTTTATCTTTGTGAAACAAAGTTATTCTTTGTTATGTAATAGTTGAGTAGAATTTGTTTGTGTCTTGATCAAAAATTGTTATCTGTTATAATGTAAACTTATTACGTACTGTATGTGGTAGGGCAGGTCTACTGTCGTTAAGTTCTCTATTGAGCTCCAGACAAAAATAAACTACTAATTATTAGCATTAACACTTTTGAGATCCTTGAATACTTGTAATAAGGCGGCTGAATCCTTATGTATCTGATTATTAAATTTTTATTATCGTTATAATAACATTAACAGCTCATTTAAACGTACATTAATATGCATGTAAACAGATAAGATATTAATTAAGTCGAACAAGACTCATGATGCATATAACAATAAGGTCACAATTGAATTCTTTGATTGGTTAGTAATGTAAATTAGCCAATCGCATAAATGTCGTCTTTATATGGGTTTAACTCAAAAATAACGCGTATATATACCCAATATAACATGCAGATGAGTGTTATATCGTATTTTCGCGTAATATCATGCATCTTCGCAGTATCTGCGCGTCATTTTGAGCACATATGCGTTATTTCGGATCGCGTTATTTTGGATTAATTTGACAATTTTAATAAATCAAATTAAAGATGAAGACCTCCAAGAGAAATCTGCTTATAATTTAATGAGTACAACCTAAGAAGTTTGATTAATAACACGATTTGTTTTCTTTATTACGATATCTTAATCTACAAATTGACTGGGTTAATTTTAACTATATAGTCAACTCTGCTTAACCAGAACCATTTGATAACTTAACACTATTTGAGTAAACCCATATCTTTCGAACAGTAATTTAAATTAGTTGTTATATAAATCAGCTTTTTTTAAAAACTATGTCTAATATATAAGGAGTTAACTATCATTATCAAACTCTAAATTTACACTTAAAATTGTTTTGCTTAATAAATTTAAATCTTATAACTTGTTAGTTCTATCTACAAATAGGAATGTTAAACCGGTTAGACTTTACTATTTAAACTGAACTAGTTTTAGTAATTTGATATATTAAACTTATCTTTGATTTCAAAATAGTTAAACGGTTTAACATCCTTAGGGTAGTGACAGATATTACGTAATATTCTGAGGGGGGGAGGGGGGTCTTTGATAGCTTACGTTGATATATAAATTTATAATAGCCAATCAAATTTCT